ACCCAGTCACATGACCACCAAGCCCCACCTACCCAGTCATTAGGGCAGAGAACCGGTCGTTAAATTATTTGCATCCCACTACTGTCCTGGTCCTTCTCTTCACTAGACTAGCCATGCCTAGTTCCTGTAACCTTTCATCATATGTTTTATCCTCGTCCCCTAATCATCTTGGTTGCTCTTCTCTGCACTTTTTCTAGAGTCTCAACATCTTTTTTTAAAGTGTGGTGACCAAAACTGGAAGTATTCTAGGTGTGGTCTTACTAGGGCTTTATAGAGTAGTATTAGCACCTAACTTGATCTTGATTGTATCCCTCTGTTAATGCAATTTAGGATTGCATTGGCTTTTTCGGCTGCCACCACACACTACTGGCTCATATTTAGCTGGTTGTCCACTGATACTCCAAGATCCCTCTCACAATCAGGCCTAACAGGCCTAACCAGGTTATTACAGAAGCTGCCTATGCATAGCACTTTAAGCTTGGTTACTTTTGAACTTAAATAGAATTTTGGGCTTTTCTGGTGTGGTGTAAACTCAGATTCAGGTGGTATATGGATCAATCTGTTGGCCAAACCCATAAAATGAATTAATTCAGCAATCAGGTTGAGCATATTAGATTCATACGGCCTCTTCATTTCTAAGAAGAGGATGACCAGGATCAATTCCAGGCTTGCGAACCAAAGATGATCTAAGAAGCCTCCAGTGGAAGCCACAGCGACGTCACCTATGATATGAAATCATGATGCACACAATTCAAGTTACCCCATTCATGCCATCCGCATGAAAATGTCATCATGCGCTTGATGTCACTTGAGGCTTCCTCCACAGATTCTCATGATGATGCTTTAAGGGGCTGAACCAGAATTGGAGAAGTCAAAGTTCAAGTCCATCCTTAGCTATGGAATCTCCCTGAAGAATAAATCACCCACTTTCAGCCTAACTCATTTTAAAGGGAAGAATGAAAGAACTCATGTTGGAAATACCATCAAGAGATCTTAGACAAAAGGGAGGATGGAAATCTAATTATCAGAGAGATGAAAGAAGATCCAAGCAGTGGCCTGATCACATCATGTATAAGGAGCCCACCTCCCTCTATCCATTTTCCTCCCAGGCCCAGCCTTACCTGCTTTTCCACCTTTAGCACTCGGCCCATCATGCTGAGTTCATCCACCAGGTCGACCTCTAATGGTGCTTTTTCCCCTTTCTCCCGTGTCTTCTTATCCATGGCGATACCTCCCCGGCCCATAATCTGATCCACACTGGAAAGAGTGAAGAGAGAGATGTTGGGGAGATGACATCAGTGAAACAAAGTGAGGCTATCTGGGCCACTTGGGGAATTAGATCAAGGCAAGAACATTAGGTCCACCTCTGAGAATTCCGCCTGAAAGGGCTTTTTTTGTCTAAAAGGGATGTCACTTTTTAATACCACTTTATTATGCCTTGATGAGGCCACACTTAGAATCCTGCATTCAGTTTTGGTTGCCATGATGTAGACAAGATGTGGAGACTCTAGAAAGAGTGCAGAGAAGAGCAACAAAGATGATTAGGGGACTGGAGACTAAAACATATGAAGAACGGTTGCAGGAATTGGGTATGTCTAGTTTAATGAAAAGGAGGAGTAGGGGAGACATGATAGCAGTGTTCCAATATCTCAGAGATTGCCACAAAGAAGAGGGAGTCAAACTATTCTCCAAGGCACCTGAGTGTAGAACAAGAAGCAATGAGTGGAAACTAATCAAGGAGAGAAGCAACTTAGAACTAATAATAAATTTCCTGGCAGCTAGAACAACTAATCAGTGGAACAACTTGCCTCCAGAAGTTGTAAATGCTCCAACACAGGACATTTTTAAGAAGTTGTTGGATATCCATTTGTCTGAAATGGTGTAGGGTTTCCTGCCTATACTCCAGAACTGTATACCCCCAACACCTCTGCATAAAAATAATTGCAACAGTTCTCCCAAAACCTAAGTCTTTAATAGCAAAAGTTAGGGAAGGACCAATTGATTTTGCTTCCCTGCCCAAGTGGCTGTGCGGATGTTGACCGTCTTTTTACATTTGTCACCAGGACTCTTCCATTCTCTCACAGTATCTTGCCTGCAGCTGCATCATAAGCCGATGAAAGAAACTCAAGTCTTCTAAGACTCTAACTCCAACTCTGGCCAAATCTGTAGTTGTTTCTGACCCTGCTCTCCAGTTGTAGTCTTGCCACCAGCCCCATCACTAGTTTTGGCTTTCCAAGTTGCTGGGAAAATAACCCTGAGCATCACTGAGCCCCAGTATTTCTCCTCACCGGGTCTGGAGACTTTTGATTCTGCCAAGCATGTCCAGGTGGCCAGCTGAGTATTGCTCAATCACATCCTTAACATCATATGGTCTCAGGGTCTCCTTGAACTTTCTTTTGGCTACCAGGAATTTAAGAATTCTGCAAGAAAACATGCTTATTTTAAAGTTAAAATGCAAGGCACAAAAACCTGGAGGAGAGATCTAGGTAACCTTTTACTGCTCTGGGTGACCATGCATGGCATACTCCCATTTAGCAAGTGCTTTTCAGGACTGCTGGTGGGGAGGGAACTCCTTAACTACAGATGCCAAAAATGCAACCTGAAAGCAGGAGATCCTGTGGCCCAATCTTCTTCAACCCAGTGTACCCAATATTAATCAGATTTAAGCCTTTAGAACAAATAACTCTAGGGGGCGGTGCTAATCTCTGTTTCAAAGCTGAAGAGCCAGCGCTGTCTGAAGATGTCTCCGTGGTCATGTGGCAGGCATGACTCATCACCGGAAGTGCACAGAATGCTATTACCTTCCCACCAAAATGGTTCCTATTTTTCTACTTGCATTTTTTTTAACATGATTTCAAACTGCTAGGTTGGCAGAAGCTGGGACAAGTAATGGGAGCTCACTCTGTTACACGGTGCTAGGGATTCAAACCGCCAAACTACCGACCTTTTTCATCAACAAGCTCAGCGTCTTAGTCACTGAGCCACCGCATCCCTATATAAAACAAATAGACTTTCATATTTAGGGGTTTCAGGTCAACCACTTCAACTGAAGTTCAACAAAGACCACAGCAAATTCTAAAATGTTAACCAAATGGCTCAGTTATAATCACCCAACCACTCTCCTCTCCGTTTTAAAGGCCCAGAAGGCAAAAATCACATCAGTGTCAAAGAGGATAGAATTGTTGAGCCTACCAAAGGTTTTCCTACTTGAACAAAATCAAGCCCAGTTTTTAAGATCTATTCTGGGGCTGGCCTGAATACAGTGGCAGTGGCAGTCAGAGCTGCTACTCCATCTATCCTAAGAGTAATTCAAGTCTTTAGTTATTGATAGAGCCTTCTCCCAACGGAACCTGATAGACTACCAAAAATTCCTTGAAGGACAGGTGGGCACACACTTTAGCCCATCTCATGGATCAATCAACTTCAAGAGCAAAAGAGAGGTCATCACATTTTTCATCACATCTTCTAGTCGTGAATTTCACTGTCACCCTTTTCTCACTGGTAAGGTACAACCGGAATCTTTCCCTTGGTTTCAGGGATTTCTCCAGGGGAATCTGCCTAAAGCATATATTCAGCCATTCTTCCCCTTCTTCCTTTCAATCCAACTCTAGTTGGCTTTAATTTCAATTTCTATCATCTCAATTTCTCTTGAGAGCAACATCTAGGCTACCAAAAAGTCTATTCTATTTGGCTGCGCAATTCCAAATGCTAAGACTTTGATTTGAGAGGACCTTTGATTTGAGATTTCTCCGGAAGGTACCTTGTGGACCCAAACCTGGAGTTCTTAGCTTTGATTCCAGCTTTGCAGCACTCACCTGACTGCTCGGATCAAGGTCTTTACAGTAGGCATAATGTCTTCAAAAGTCAAGTCACATTGATGGGTCTTCTCCTCGCTAGCTTCCTCTGTAGGACCATCAGCTGTGGATGGAAACAGGACTTGGTGGGAGGACTAGCCCAGAGGTGGGTTTCTACCGGTATGGTACGGTTTGGCCGAATAGGTAATAACTCCGGCGGACACATGACTGTACCAGTTCTATCCTCAGTGCCGCCATCTTTATTTTCTATTATGCATATGCGCAGAACAATCTTCATTGAAAAAATGTATTTCCCCCCTTTTTTAATGGTGTGCGCATGCCAGTCCCAGAGAGGTCCCAGAGATGGGCCATTGTTTGCAAAAATGGAGGTCATGTTTTTGCCTTCCCCCAGCCTTCAGAAGCACTCTGCAGTTTCAGCAGGGCTGGGGGAAGGGAAAAATGCCCCCATTAAACGGGGACATTTTTCTCTTCCCCAGCCCTGCTGAAGCCTGCAGAGTGTTCCTGGGAGCTGGGGAGAACAAAAACTTTTTTTTACTGGATAGTTTGCAGGCGCTCCCTTAACTCTGGCGAGGCTGCCCCTCCCCAGTGAAAACTTTTTGCCAGCATTTCGGTGGGCGTGGCTTGGTAAGGGGGGGGTCATGTGACTGAGTGTGCATGAGTGGCATCGAGTTGGCCATGCCCACTCAGTCACATGTCCTTCCATCTAGCCACGCCCACCAAACCAGTAGTAAAAAATTTGAAACCCACCTCTGGTCTAGCCTCTAGGTCAAGGTTTCCCAACTTTAGTCATTTCCAGATATGTGGACTCCAACTCCCAAATTTCTTCAGCCACTACGTTGGCTTTGAAATTCTGAGACTTGGATTCCACACATCTTAAAACTTGCTGAGGTTGGAACGCACTGTCCTAGAGGAAGTGTGTGGAATATAAACACGAGAAATATTTAATAAAATATACCAAAGAGTAAAACCACCACCTTTCGAACACTTCAAAACACGAGAAGAGGTGGAACAAACACAAATACCATATTTTTCAGAGTATAAGACCCACCCTTTTCCCCTCAAAAAAGAGGTTGAAAATCTGGGTGTGTCTTATACACTGAATACAGCATTTTTAGCCTCCCGAAACACCACCCCCTTTGTAAAAATGGCCATGCATAGCCTTTAGAAGGCTTCCAGAGTGCTCCTGGGGTCTGGGGAGGGCAGAAATGAATGGAAAATGGGCAATTTTTTGCTCATTTTTGCCCCATCCAGCCCCCAGGAGCACTCTACAAGCCTCCTAAATGCTATGCATGCCCCCCCCTTTTCTTTTTTTTACAAAAAAGAGCCTGTTTTCGCCAAAAAAAAAAAAACAGGCTGCTTTTGGGAGGCCTGCAGAGTGCAAAACCTTTTTTTAATTTGCCTCTTCAAAATCTTGGTGCGTCTTATACTCTGAAAAACACAGAGTATAATTCTTAGCAAGCTTACTTGATTTCCTCTTAAGATCAACAACTACTATGAATTAAAATCATATGAAAATTTCCCAACCTCCAGCTTCCAAAGTTTACCGTCCACTGGTGTCCGGGGTTTCAGCCTCAATGAGGCCCGGAATTTTGTCCTGTCATTGAAGCTCCAGCTCTTCTGTACTTTGCTGGGGCTGATGCCTTCATTGACGTTCTCTGTGCTGGGGGAGCGGTGGAGTGGGGGCACAAGGTGCTGCTTCCCCCTGCTGCCTTGCTTCTGAGAATTGCTCACTCGGATGCGGTCTTTGAGTCCCATTTTATTGCTGGAAAGGGTTCAGAGTGGCAGTTAACTGATGGACATGTGAATTGGGGAGGATGAAAAGCCACGGCTGAAGTGGGCCCTAGACTCAAATCTGCTGCACTCCTCTGCTTACCCTTTGAACAGGTTACAGTTTTGACAGTTTCATGTGATCCCAGTGTGCTCATTGGCTCTGAAATCCTATACCGTTTAGATAGTCCTCAACTTACAACTGTAAATGAGCCCAGAATTGAATTATAAGTCATACTGGTTGTTAAAAGGATCACTACGTGATTGTGCCTGATTTTATGACTTTCTGAAGCTGTTGTTAAGTGAATCATGACTGTTATTAAATGAGCACCATAGGCACTAATACTAATAGCAATAAGCACTTAGACTTATATACCGTGTCATAGTGCTTTTACAGCCCTCTCTAAGTGGTTTGCAGAGTCAGCATATCGCCCCAACATTCTGGGTCCTCATTTTACTGACCTTGGAAGGATGGACGACTGAGACAATCTTGAGTCATTCAGAATTGAACTTCTGGATTGAACAGTTAGTTAGCCTGCAGTACTGCATTCTAACCACTAAGTGATCTATTGTTTACAATGGGCATTTTTTTGTTGGAAATTTGAAGTAAATGCCAGTTTCCAGCAAAAAACATCATAAATCACAGTCATATGACTGTGGGATCCTGCAATGGCCATAAATGAGGATGCCAAGTGTTCAAAATGCAATCACATGACTGCAGGGGGGAGGTTCTTATTGGGATTTTACATCCAGGTAGTAAGTAGCTCCATGGGGGTTTGTCATAACTTTGCATGGTCATAATTTGAGGTCTTTATGTAGAAACCCCTAAACATGGGTGAGAATCAGAAGGAAAGTTTGGTCCCACTTGGAATAAAATAGCTAAGTATTTTAGCAGATCAGCATTCAAACTTGAAATAATACTTTATTCAATACTTTATTCTATCCTGCAATATATATTTTTCTGTACAGACAGTAATACTGTAGTAGGTGTATAGCTGCCACCCTATGTTTGCTTCTGTTTCGCTGTGCAGTGACAGTCTGCCTTGGACTCCTTGGAGGATTTGACAGGATAGGGAATGCTTGGGGGAAAACGAAAGCAACTCCTGTATCTCCCTGAGATGCTGCTTCAAAGTCAACCAGCTGGGAAAGGAAAGCAGCTGCAAACCAACCTACACTTGAAGTGACTGTTCTGAAAACATCTTGCTTGCACCTGATTGGTCATGGTGGTGATGGGGTTCAGCAATGGCAGGCAGTTAAAGGAGGGAGATGTTGAACTCAGGGATTTTGGCACATGATTCTCAGTTCTGGCTGCATTACAGCTGCCCACTTGACTTCTATTAAAACTGTACTTTTCTCAAAAAAAGGAGCTAAGAATCATTTTTACTTAGATATTTACCGTATTTTTCAGAGTATAAGATGCACTTTCCCCCCCAAAAAAGGTGAAAATCTGGGTGCATCTTATACACTGAATACAGCATTTTAACCTCCTGAAACCCTGCCCACTTTGCAAAAATGGCTGTGTATAGCCATTAGGAGGCTTCCAGAGGGCTCCTAGGGGCTGGGGAGGGCAAGAATGAGCAAAAAATGGACCATTTTCTGCTTGTTTTTGCCCTCTCAGCCCTTAGGTGCACTCTACAAGACTCCTAAAGGCTATGCATGCCCTTTTTTGACAAAAAAATGGGCCATTTTGGGGAGGTCTGCAGAGTGCAAAACCTTTTTTTAATTTGCCTCTTCAAAATCTTGGTGTGTCTTATACTCCGGTGAGTCTTACACTCGAAAAATACGGTAAGTGTGGCAGGCTTGAGAGTGTGTCAACCTGATCCTCTTGTAGGAATCTTGGTTTTGTTTTTCTGGAGCGGTACCAGGGGTGGGTTTCTCGCCCCATTCCAACCGGTTCAGTTGCAACAGGGCCGGCGGCGTGCTCGGGCACGCGTGCAGCGCACACATGCGTACTAACATCTGTGCGATGCTCCAGCTGCTCCTGGAGGATCGCGCAGGCGCTGTTTGCGTCCTGCGCATGCGTGGAAGCACAGAACTCATCAAAACCGGGTAAGGAGCGCGGGCGGGCGGGTGCGCCCTTCGCCGTTCCCGGAAGTTACTTACTTCTGGGTTCGCCGACCAACCGGTTCGCGGGGACCGCCGCGAACTGGTTGAAACCCACCCCTGAGC